TTGCTGCTTGCTTGTATTTGCTTTGCTTGCCTTATGAAAGTAAATAAAATACAGTTGTTTTTCGTTAAAAAATTTTAGCTGCTCAAAAATTTCAAATATGAAATTCAAAAAAAGATTCACTTTTCTGTCCAATTGAATTTTTTCTTACTTACTTTCATTGATACATTTGACATCAGTTTAATACATTGATGTAATTTAATTGCAAATTTGAATATAATTGTTTAACTTACTTGATTGATATGTGGTTCAATTTCATAGCAACATCGATAAATATCATTGGGGAAATTCTTAAAATCAGTATCATCACAGAATGTTCGAAGAGAAAAATTAATAACTGCTCGGACAGTACCATTACTTTCCACAGTTATTCGTCTAAATTCCATAAGATCACCATTACGAATTGCTGTATCAAATCTGTAATTTATAAAAATTTACAAGTTATTAACAGATTACGATTTTTATTTTTATATAAACAACCTTTTTAGTTAAAGATAATTGTGAGATTAATTTTTAAAAATTTAAAAAGAATTTTACAGTACTTTGAAATGCTTAAATTTTTATATTAACTTTTGATTTTATAAGCTAAAAATTTGAATAAACTGATTTAAATTCGAATATTATTGTCTTTAAATATTTTTGTATTGTCATTTCTTGCATTAATAATTTGAAATGTAACTTGTACTGATAATAATGAATTATTACAGTATCAATATTTGTTTCTGTTTCTACATAAAAAAGAATTACGTTTGAGCGTCAAGTATAGGTACCCAAATATGATTGAAAGAACGAATTTCCATTTTTTTAAGTCTCCAGTGATCAGTATTCCATTTTAATCGATTATCTACCCAAGTAACATCCATATATCCATTAATATTCAAATCCCGTAGAAACTCATTCTGAAATAAATTTAAAAAACAAAAAAAACCCTTCTTCATAGTATTATCACATTTTGTACAACCTGACTGCATACCGTTCATTAAAGATATAGCAACCATTTTAACTTTAACCTTAAGTATAGCTGCAGTTGTAGTTGTAGTTGTTATTGATATTATTACTAGTAATCATAATATTTTCTTAACTTCAAGGAAATGCAATCGATCATCTACTGATATTCATTGATAATTAATCAGTCAAACTGGTTTTGTAGTTTATTATTGAGAACGAGTTAGAATTATCATAACTTGTACGATGATTTTAATGCCTTTTACTTACCTCTCTATTATTAAATAATAGTATTAGTTGTAATTTCAGCTATGTTTAGTATTTAGTTATTGCTATTTGTTGTCAAATAAATGTAAATCAAAGAAATAAATTAGCTTAAAACAGTTTCGAAAAAATAAAACCAATTCATTCAATTCAAAAAATAATTGTTTTTTTTCAGCTAGAATTTAAATGCTATAATCTGTTCAATTTATTATATTTTTATTGAAGTTAATTTGAATCAATTTCATTTTTCAAATATAATTAGCCAAAAGTGGCGTATTTTGAGGGAAAAAAATTAAAAGTATGTTTAAAAATTTATTTTAAATTTCGAAAGATTTAAAGTGCAAAGTTCATTACGTAAACTTTTATACTTCCATGGAGATTAACTGCAATACTTCATTAACCTATTAAATCAAAGTTATTTAGTCTAGTCAAATTTTAAAAAGTAAGTTTAAAATTAGAAATTACTCAAACACTTACCAAGACAAAGTGTTGCAATGTGATTTGATTGAAAAGCAGCGTAATTCGTGATCCTTTCGGATTAGTTATTGTAGGTGGAAAAGCTGATAATGCATGAAAGCCTCCAAAATTTTTTGTTTTTTCTTGGGCTTCGGAAGCCAAATAATAATATAAACATTGCTCCAAGACTTGAAATTGATGATTATCTAGAGCTTCAACTTCTGAAAGTATAACCACCAGAAGTCAATTGATAAGTCAACAGTAAGGTAAGATAGAAAAGATAAGATAAAAGTTAAATTATCTATTTTTAGCATTGTTTTCTCTGATTCTATTTGAATTTAAATTCAAAAATTTATTAGCATATTTGATCGTTTTATTAATCAGAAAACTTTTCAAATATAAGTGCATTACTGTTTTTATAACTCACAATGTCACTTTGTAAATTTCTTAAATATTTTTACTTTTAAATTGAAATTTTTCAAAATTGTAATAAGTAATAAGCTGAATAAAGTTTTTACGAGATGTATTTTTCAAATATTGGCATGTGTTTAAGCTGAATAAACTTGGAATCATTTCCATCACTAGAGGACTTCTGTCTGATTCACTGCTTTGTTTGTCATTTTGATCTGCCACATTTAGTGTAACACACAAAATCAACACTACCACAGTACTCAACATCTGAATTAATATAGATTTTTTTTAAAATAAGTTTAAAATTACAAAAATACATTTAAAAGTATTAAAAGCATAGGCTAATCTCTCAATGCTTGAAAATTTACTGCAATCTGATTACAGCAACCTTATTAAATCAAGCAGTGAACTTTATTAGAAGCAGTGTGGAATAAGTGGAAACAGAATTTTTATATTATTAATCAGAATAAAATAATTACTA